GCTCAGGACCTCAGACTGGGCCGAAGGTTCACCTTCTAACAAGACAATGACCCTAAGCACACAGCTAAAATAACGAAGGAGCGGCTTCACAATAACTCCGTGACTGTTCTTGAATGGTCCAGCCAGAGCCCTGACTTAAACCCAATTGAGCATCTCTGGAGAGACCTGAAAATGGCTGTCCACCAACGTTTACCATCCAACCTGACAGAACTGGAGAGGATCTGCAAGGAGGAATGGCAGAGGATCCCCAAATGCAGGTGTGAAAAACTTGTTGCATCATTCCCAAAAAGACTCATGGCTGTATTAGCTCCAAAGGTGCTTCTACTAAATACTGAGCAAAGGGGCTGAATACTTATGACCATGTGATATTTCAGTTTTTCTTTTTTAATAAATCTGCAAAAATGTCAAAAATTCTGTGTTTTTCTGTCAATATGGGGTGCTGTGTGTACATTAATGAGGAAAAATGAACTTAAATGATTTTAGCATATGGCTGCAATATAACAAAGAGGGAAAAATCTAAGGGGGTCTGAATACTTTCTGTACCCACTGTATATGAAACTCATACATAGCGTAACATTGTAACGACCCATTTATTTTAGGGGAAGTAGTTGTTTTGTAGACTAATAACATGACAACCAACCAACTATAACAGTTATATTTTAAATGTTTTATAATTAGTGTTGTTGATGGCCATCCTTCATTTGTTGATATTTCGTTTAAATTGGCGTGACCCCTTTCTCCTTTGAAAGATTGTAACGCTATTTGGTCTACGCTATATGGTCATATAGCATTATCAACCCCTGCGACCAGATGCACTGTTTTCTAGCCTTTTGAACTCTGTCCCAGGTACACACTCTACACCAGGACCACACTTGGCTACATGTACTACAAGAGGCAAATGAGAAAAGCTCGGGAACATTACCCAGCTGGACATTCTACAGCCCAGCCCATGGAGTTCAATGGTATACAAAAGCATGGATCCTACTATTTACTATGTTCATACAGCACTATTCACGTTTTCTTGAGTTATTTGTGGGGAGATACATCAACAAAAAAGCAGAAATATAGTGCATGTTATTCTACAGGTCATATAAGGAAATGTCATGACAGTCAATTCAAACATGCTATCTTATAAATTTATGTATTTACCTTCAATACTACACTTATTCTAAATGAAAATGTTTAATATTGTACTGATTATTTTATTTGACATTTCCTTTGTCTGCCCACAGGTGTCAAAATAATCCCCATTTCAGTACTGTCTGACAACTACAGCTATCTTGTAATTGACACAGCCTCCAGTGTAGCAGTTGTTGTAGACCCTGCAGACCCTCAAACAGTTCAGGTGAATGCCTTTCTTCTGTTGTGTGTTTAATATGTAGGTGGTTTGGTCATTGTGCTGGGATTCACACTAATATGCAGAAAACAACAGGCATTTTCTGAGCAATTAGTTTTTTGTGTTGCAAGAGGAGATAACAGCTGCATAACGCATTGCTGCAGAAAAGTTGAGACATGCCAAATATTTTCCAGATCTCATTGCAACATCATAAATGATTGTTTTGCCACTAGTCTGTAGGCATAGCACACCTCAGCAGTACTGTCAAGAGCTGAAAAGGACCAAATTTAAGATCAGGATCATATGGGACTGTACAAGTTGAGATATAGCATGAGTCCATGGATGCTTTAATATTGCAACTAAAAATTGCATGTTGCAGGACTCAAGTAGATAGCTACAATGGGAATAACAGTTTCAGTAGGTGTCAGAAATCTAAATTACAGTTATGTGTGTGCCATTCTAGTGATGTCTTTTCTTTTTTTTTTTTTTTTACCACAACTACTTTTGTGAAGCCCATGAACCCAAAGTGGCTCTGTGACAGTTAGGCCTTTCTGTTATTTAGTTGGGTATCATAAAATCCCCACCACTAATGTTTCAGTATCACATTTGTTGCCCGCCCCGTTTTTTTTTTTTTTTTTTTTTTTTTTTTTTTGTTGCCTTGCATCATTTATCTTTTACTAAAGCTACAGCTATTGATTGTCAGTAACTGATATTTGTGAGTGCATTGTCAGTAGGATCTATTACAAGCACACATGTAAAATTACTAGTGCCCTACTGTGTCAAAGGTTTGAAGTATTTTGTAACTTAGTGGGCTTTTGATTTAACATGGCGGTTTTAATAGGGCTTCTAACTTTTCAGGCAGTCCTTAAGGAAGAGGGAGTGATGTTAGAAGCAATACTATGTACACACAAGCACTGGTGAGTTTAGTAGTTGATTTATGCATTTTAATGTTTTTTTTTCTTCAAGATTTAATGTATTAAATATATAAGGAGATTGGATATTATATTCCAAATATGACAGTTTACAAATTGTACACTGTGTCAAGTGAATATAAACATGGTATTTTCATGCACTCAGTTGCTGGTGTTCATATTTTAACACATTATAATCTAATCTAAAGGAAATGCCAACATTAAAATGAATAAAGCTGGAAATGACAATCAGACCAGCTCATATTTTAACAGTTTACTGTTCAGACAGAAACTACAGTATGTGGTTAAAAGTAATTAGTGTAGATTGAATGCCAAGACATATACACAGTTTTCTGTTATTTCCACAATACTGACAAGCCTCTGCTTTCTGCTCCATTTTCAGGGATCACAGTGGGGGAAACAAAGGGTTGAAGAGGCTTCACAGCGCGTGCCGGGTTTACGGAAGCGCAGCTGATAACATTCCTGGTCTCACGCAGTAAGTTCTTACTCACACAGAGTCAGTCTTACAGTAATGAGTCCTGTCTCGTTCTCTCTTGTCAGCATTTGTAACAGCTGACATCACAGTAAATTATCATGGTATGACAGACTGTTTCCTTAAGGCCTAAAAATGGGAGTCATCCTAAGTTAGAGGATACCCAAACCAGTGGGTTTGACTGATGAATTACACATATAAGAAAACTAGTTGTTGCCCCATATATTTAGTTTGGCAAGTACATTTTATTATAATAAATTATTTAAAAGATCAGATAACAGTTGTTTTTTTCTCGTATTTTAGAGTTAGATACATTTTATTATTTTATTTTTGGGTCAGATGTAAGTTTAGCAATTTATCTCCCAAAACCTCTCTCTGCTTACTAAGTAACTAGTTTCCCTTCATTCCATTGTGAAGCACATTAACGCACCTGTTATGTTCATTTCTCAGGAACAGCAGTGATGTTCCTGAGTTAATTTTACCATTACTAACCATTTCAATCACTGTTTAGTGCAATGTGTTCTTTACCTCTCACAGATTATGGTTCAATGAAGATAATGCACCCGTTTTTCATAAAAAATGTGTTTCATACCAATAAAATACTTTTAATTATTGTTTTTAGATCTTTTAACTTTACAATGGGTCAATTTGTCCCACAACATAACAGGAGGATTAAATAAAAAAGTCTATACGTTTCCCTATGGTACCTTGATTTATTCTCTCAATAGAAATGTGTGCAGTTTTGTTATGAACTCAACAGACAACATCTATAGGCTGCCTGAAGTTGACATGAAAGCTGGATGTGACCTAGGGTCCTGACTCAGAGAGCCAGCCAAAAGTCTAGATGAGGGAACAATGTCAGAACAGCTTCTAACAGAGCCTGTTTGTTATTATCAGTGACTCTGAAAAAATAATTGGTCCAGCATGAATCACATTTTCACTGTTTATTTATTTTTATAAGTGCATAATTTCATTCTTTTCTTCACCTCTATCTGTGTTTTTTCACACATCAACAGCATTAAAATCAGTATTAGACATTTCTAGATCCTATGCCATTCGTCTGTACTTTTGCACATATAACAACTACAAAGGGCAGCAGGGTGCAGTGAATCAGTGCTGTTGCGTTTAACAGCAGTGCCGTGTATTTTTTATTTATTTTTTGTTCCCAGCCCCCTCTCACACATGGACTCTGTAACGGTTGGCCGTATGCAGTTCAAGGCCCTCTTCACTCCTGGACACACAGTGGGCCACATGATCTACCTCCTGGATGGTCGAGCAGTCAGTGCCCCCTCCAGCCTCTTCTCTGGTGACCTGGTGTTTCTGTCAGGATGTGGTGAGTCAGAAAACAAGACCCACAGAAATAATCCTTTCCAATCTGTGATGTGTTTCTATAGTGTGGATTCACTGTACACAGATGACAGGTCCCTGTGCCCTCTGACGGGCCACTGAATGACTAAGAATTTAATAAATGCGGGGTTTGCTTACCTTAATAGGCATCATGTTCTCAATACAGCCAATGTAAAGAAAGGTATTAGTTTGTCCTCATGCAGAGATCCACACAAAGACATGTAGATGTAACTTGATTATTTAATTAACTGGTATGAAATGGATTATAGTTTTTAGGGATGCACCGAAATGAAAATTCTTGGCCGAAACCGAAAACCGAAAAAGAGGAAACCAAGGCCGAAAACCGAAACACCGAAAGAAATTATGCCAATTATTAGTACCACCATTGCATTTATGGCTATGACTGTGTACTAACTTTACTAAAATCAAGGCATTGCAATTGCATAAATTAATATTAAAGTTTCAAAGAATAAATCAATTGCAAATTATGCAAATATTTCTTTAGCACATTGCAACAATGCACAGTATAAAATAAAATTCAAACTAAAATGTTTAACTTGACCCCACTCATGTGTACATTAAATAATAATGTAAAGGCTTACTGGCCTGCTGAAAGGTTGTAAAATTAAATGTTCTCTCATAAAAACAAAGTGCATTTAGGTCAAGTGCATTTTAAATTTTCTCTGTAGGGCTACTACAAGAAAGTGCATTCAGAACAAGTGCAACTGCTTAAAGTTTCTCTGTAGGCCTTCAACCATAATAGTGTATCAAAACAAAGACTGCCATAGCCCGTGTTAACTGTAGAACTTTAACAACAACAAATGCACCAAGAATTGCAGATGTGCAAAGTGGATAATAAATATAAGCCCATTCTACTTCTTGAGGTAAAGTGGCAGGTTTTTCTTGATGAAGATTAACTTCTCTGCTTTATCACAGTGAAGTCTGTTCCTCTTCTCATCGAGAACATGAGCTGCTGCACGACAGAGAATGGCTGATCATCTGAGGCAATGAATTCCATAATCTTTTGTGTAATGCCATTTGCCTTGACACCATCACTGGGAAACATCCTTGCCTTTTCAAAAACATCCACCACAGATGGAGTGGGCGTGCTCGGAGGCGTTTTCCTTTTCTGTGCCGCGTTCCTCTCATATTCAGCGTAGCGATTGGAATCTTTGGATTTCAGGTGATAAATTAAACCCGACGTGGAGAAAGTCTTTGCAGATGCACCCCCTCTTGAAATTTTGCCTTTACATGTTTTGCAAATCGCTGTCCGTGGGTCTTTTTCAGATATACTGAAATACGTCCAAACCGCAGACATGTTGCTTCAGACAAGCACGTGCAGGTCGTGGTTTGTTTGAGTCATCACAACGTTTAAACTTTTCGGTGGCCGAATATTCAGTGCATCCCTAATAGTTTTGAATAATAACTATACCAATACGCAGCATTGGGATACAGGGTGCAGATACAGGGTAGCTACCTCAACATTTTCACCCAAGCATTCAAATTAGTCTTGCTTTGCCAAGCCCGATGTAACATAGTGTTGGTTCATAAATGTGCAAGGCACTTTTTATCTCACTGTTATTTATATCAATATTGTTTTTACTACCAGGAATTTAATTACAAGAAATCTGCAGGTGTCTCAAAAGTATCATACAAGAATATGTCTTAAACATAGTCAGTAAAGGTCTTGTTTTGTTCTCTACGCAGAGCCTCTGTCTTCGGTATAGAATACATCCAGCTTTAATGAGCATAGCATAATGCCCCTTTTAAAAATAGATTAGCTAATGTGTACTTTTAACCTTCAAAACCTCTGAACAATCAGAAATGGGTCCTGTTGTTTTCATCGGAAGTTAATAAATTTAAGTGTTAAATTCAATTCCAAGTAGCAAAGAAACGATCCTTAAAGTATGAAGTTTGAACTCTGAATCACTTTGGTAAAACATGTTCTTTATATTTTCAGGGAGAATGTTTGAAGGCAGTGCAACAACAATGCTGTCATCTCTGGACACCGTCAGTTCCTTAAGTGATGACACTTTGTTATGGCCTGGTAGGAAAATCTTCTCATTTGTCGGCATCTCAGCATCAGACAGGTGGATTGATATGTGTTCTATTAGAGACATACTGTAGCATCAGTGCTTGTATTTACAGTCAAAATCTTGTAAGGGCATGCACGGGAGTTTTTAGGGAGTGCAAATGTTTAACTGCGGTTATGTCTGTGGCTGGGGTTTTTTTTTTTTTTTTTTTTGTGTCCACTGCCTACTCCTCAGGTCATGAGTATGCAGAAGACAACCTACTGTTTGCCGCTGAAGTTGAGCCATGCAATGCTGCCAGGGAAAACAAATATCAGTGGGTGCTGCAGCAGCGAGGACAGAAGCTGTGCACAGTGAGTATGATATATTGCCATTGTTATGCTTCTCCAGCACATCATCCCACAAAGGAGTCATGTTGTCCAGCACCTGGGAAGGAGGGCTTATCACCCGCATACAGTGCTCATGTTGTCAGTCCCCTGAGCACACGCTTTCTTCTCACTTCCTTCTCTTTCAGGCTCTCACAGTCGAGCCTCGTCTATGATACAGTCTGCAGCAGGGCAAAGGTTCACTGTTGAGTGAAGTGCCTATCCAGAATTTAGATTAGCTTTTACCTGCCATCGGTACAGAAGAACACTAATGGCAATTTGACATATTTGCATATCCCTCAATTTTGACAGCTTCCATACCCAAAACCTATTAAATTATTATCTATACCTTTTCTCTGCATCATTTGCATAATTAGTACTTGAAATGCAGCTAGTCAGATTTTTGATAAATTTTATTTTCAACATGAGCAGATCACAGGGAAAAAACAGGCATACTAACAACAAAGAAAACTTTGCCTAGAGCTACCTGAAAGATGACCTTGTTGTGATAAGTGCTTAAACTAATGCACCAAACACTTGAGATACTGTGTTTCTGTTTGAACTAAAAATATAGCCAAGATAAATAAAAGGATTTTAGGTTTAATTAGCTTTAGCAAACCTTTATAAGCTCACCATAAACTGTACATATGACTAGACTACTATAGTGAGAACCTATTAAAGCTGGGTTCTGGTGTCAGGGACATTCCGTAGTACCACATTTTTAAAATCCTAAAGATCGGGGCTTTGATTAAAGCCCATATATCATTCACTGGCTGTTGCTACACAGTATAAACATCATTGGAAAAGGAAAATCATGCATTTTGACTTGTCATTTACATTAACAGTGTGTCCAGTTTATTGGAGAGACTCAGTAAGCGACAGCAGTCACAGTGAGCCAGTATGCACAATACCAGGACCCTGAAACAGAAGCAGCTAAATGTAATCTAAATGTAAATTTACTATACTTTTCCTACTGCGATGTCTGTTGTGAAAAATGTGCTAAAATTTGATTTAAAATGTCAACCAATTAGCAACAACAGCTGTGGTTTATATGGCTTGTGAAACTGTCTCAACATTGAGTAGTTGTTTTTTTTTTTGTTTGTTTGTTTGTTTTTTTTGTTTTTTCAGGAAATGCTACTTTTGGTGCATATCCATTAGATACATGTTGAAGTTGCTTTGTGGTATGGAAGAAGGGTTTGCATTAAACAGTATGATAGTAGCAAATCCTACCTTGTTTTAGTTGCTTTTAACTTTTGGGATCCAGGATTTATCATCCGGATCAACACTGGAGATTATGCTCTGCTAAATGCATAAAATGCAAGGTTAAAAGTGATTTAATGTTGACAAGAAGTGTTGCAGCTGTTGAGTTGGGACAGAGATGCAGAAATGTAATGCTGTGCTGAAGTAATCTGGCAGGAATAAATGATTAACCATGGTTTTGTAGAGAGCTAAGATGCACTTGATTTTCAGAGTCCCTCTACTATCGGAGAAGAGAAGCAGTACAATCCTTTCCTGCGTAACCACTCTGCAGAGCTCCACCTGGCCCTGGGCCTCCAGCAGTTCCAAGACGAAGATGTCAGCCAGTTTAGGGCTCGGGTACTGGAGGAGTTGCGAAAACGCAAAGACCACTACAACAGGAGGTAGTATTAGCAAGAAGTCCACAAAACACTGGGGAGTGGAGGAGGGAGCCCACCCGTACTGGACAGCTGTGTGAGAATAGCAATCTGCAGTTGTAAAAGTAAACAAACAGAGCTCTGAGGTTTTAAATGTACAAAACCTCTTAAGGTTTTGTACATTTAAAGGGGCATTAAGTATTTTTTTTTAACCTTTACCAGCCTGTATCAGTGACCACTAGGGACATAGTCACAACTTCATTATTACATAATCCTTATACTAAGAATCCTGTTACCTTTCCACATACTGAATGTTATGGTAATTTTATGTTTGGTCAGATCACTTACTGTTTCTTTAGCATAGAGGCATAAACAGTAAATGTAGATTTGCACGATTTCCCATTCTGGTTTGTGAAACACGGGGACAGAACAGGACCCAACACTACATGCATTATCTAACATGTTAGTTACTTATTTGACAAGTAATAGATTATTTTTTAAAGCCTTTCATGAAAATCTTTGGTACGCTGGTTTCATATTTACACATATTTAAAGGGTGATCCTTCTCCATGGAGGATGTGACTTTTGCACTTAGAGTATTTTGATCACCACTTTTCAGAACTGTTACAACGATAATGGTACCATTGATTTCACACATATATTCCTACCTGTTGGTATTTTATGTGAAAATCAGCACAAAATATGGGGAAAAACCTTTATATCCTATATGTGAATGCATGTGAGCCAATTTTGTTTAGACTTACAAAAGCATGTTACTAGCATCAACTATTCATGGTACTAGCCCTGTTATAGGGAATAAATGATGCACGTGAAACAATAAGACTTCATCTGCTAGTGGGCTAAATGTGAAATGTATTTTCTAGTGAAAATGTATTTGTGCCTCTCAGTAAATGATTTTTGCAAATTTAAAACGGTATTTTTCAAGGGATAGCAGTGGTACATCGTCAATGACAACATACAGTCATGGCCAAAAATATTGGTACCCCTGCCTTTCTGTCAGATAATGCACCACTTGATTTGATTTGATTTGCAGTGGTGCCATTATGTTTGGCCATGACTGTTTTTCAGGAATTTGAGTGGTATTGCATTGTAATGTATGAGACATGACTTCTTTGACATACACTATGTTTTGCAATAAGTTTGGATTGTTTAAAATGTCATATTTGAAATTGTGATGGAATTGCAAGATATTTCCTTTTTCTAATATGACAATGCAGTTGACTGTCACTCAGAAGGTTGCTGATGCTGTTTTTATAATCTGAAAACTTTGAAAACCAAAGTGTATGTTATTTTTTAATATATTGAATTTATTATACTGTAAGGAAAATAATTTCAGTGTGATAAACCTGGTCTTCTTCACATGCACATTTGAGTATTTGGTTTTTATTGTGTTTTTATAATGCAAAACATGTTTAGGTCGAGATGGGCCAGATTGCAAAGGAACAAACCTTTAAACCTTTGAGGAGCTATGGGAGCTCTTCAGATTCCTCTGTAGCTCCTGCAGAAGGGCTCATACCAAAGCATCTTATACCCTGGTGATTGTTCACTAAAATGCTGTTCTGTTTGTTTGATCCAGATTTGCATCTTATTTGCATATGTTTGAGTTTCGAACACCACTACCACACAGGAGACCATTTTACTTCAGGTTATGTTTTAATGAGGAAATATGAAAGTAAACCCCTCCATTAGAGTTATCTCTGTGTTATTTGTTGTCTTTATGAGTGTTCAGAACTGACAACTGAGTTATTTTTTTCACGCTGGTATACCTTCAATAAAAGCACAACCTGCTTTATGCACATTCAAAAGATACTTTATATCAGAAAAAGAACAGAACTTTGGGTCGACAAAACAGAACAACAAGCAATCAAGATATGGGATCCTGGGTCTACCTCAGGTGTGTGATTTGAACTGTTATGTGTAAATCTGTGGGACGCTAATTAAAGTAGAATAAATAACTAGACAAATGCATTTCCTGAAGAAAATGCGTGTGACTCAGTACCCACATAATTAATATATGATGATTTTATTTAGAATAAACCTACAACTTTGCCTGCAAAATCTATGTGTTGAATCCTTTACACACCAGTAGTCCCACTGCTGAGATCTTCACAGAACTGTTTTATCCAACCAAACAGACCTATTCAGTTTTACTATCATGACAAAACCCATCAAGGCAAACACCACTGGCCAAGATGGAAACGGCTAATCAAAATCTGAATCTGCTTTATTGGCCAAGTGTGTCAGACACACTCAACTCAACTCAACTCAACTTTATTTATAGAGCACTTTGTTTGGCTTTGGCTGTGTTAAAGTGTTTAACATAAAACATATAACACGTGAACAACTACGTCAATAAGAATAAAATAATAAAATAAAATAAATGAACCAAGATAGCAAAATAACAATATACTATCCAAAACAAAAACTCAGCAAACAGAGTCTCATGCCATATCAAAGGCCAAGGCATACAAATGGGTCTTCAAGTAAGTTTTAAAAATGGCCAACGAGGGCGCCTGCCTAATGTAAAGAGGCAGCGCATTCCATAGCTTAGGAGCAACAACGGAAAACGCTCTGTCCCCTCTAAGTTTACGCCTAGCCCTTGGTACCCCCAGCAGGAGCTGGCCATCTGATCTGAGGCACCGAGAGGGACTATAAGGAAATAAAAGTTCAAGAAGGTACAGTGGTGCAAGACCATTTAAAGGCTTAAAAACAAATAAAAGAATCTTAAAATGAATCCTAAAGGACACCGGGAGCCAGTGAAGGGATGCCAAAATGGATAATGGTGTTGAATGCCAAGCGGAAGTCCACAAAGAGGGCCCGTACATAGGTCCATGGGGAGTCAAGGTGTTGCAGGATGTAATACAGTGCCTTGTTCACTGCATCGTCCACTGACCTGTTTGCCCGGTAGACAAACTGCAGGGGGTCCAGCAGGGGTCTACGGTGTCCTTCAGGTGGGCCAACACCAGACTTCATAACTACAGATGTCAGGGTAACAGGTCTGTAATCGTTCAGATGGAGGTTTTCTTGAGGACTGGGATGATGGTGGAGCGTTTGAAGCAGGAGGGGATTTCACACAGCTCCAGTGACCTGTTGAAGATGAATGTGGCAGGCAGGAGGGCGGTCACACCATCTGGGCCTTTTGCCTTTCTGATCCTTTGTTTTTTTAAAGAGGCCACGCACAGCATTTATGTCACCGTAGTCACAAATAAAGGAGCTTCATCGATATACTGTATGTATTGTGAATTAAACTGATATCTGACACATGCAGAAATTACCAACCAGAAAAAGTATAGGTAAAACTGATGTTAGAGCAATACAGAGTTAAATGTTTTTAAAAAAAAGAAGATTTATTGTAACATTAGATTTTAAAAATGTTTGTTACAAATTAAAAGAAGGAACCCAACCATTAATTTATCTTTTAAAAACAGTATTGTTATATAATACATTAATTCAACTTTTTTAGTTGGTCTATAATTGACTTGGATATGTTTATTCATAGTTTGTCTGATAGTTCTGTCTTCTTATTAAATACTTTTGTTGCATTAATGTTCCCATCTGAGGTGCCTTTGCTGCTAGTTTGTGGATCATTAGAAACAAATAGATTAGTTACGACTTAAATGCCACCCGATTAGTATCCGGATAACATTTAGGAAGCTGTTGATGTTCCAGTCACGTCTCTAAACTCTCCATTTCGCTCCGTATTTTCACGTTGCTCTCGTCGACGTCACAAACAGGAAGTGGATGCGGAAATACACAGTTCATCAGCTGGCTGCAGGTAGTTTGGTAGTTTACAGGCAGGTTTTGTCTGTCACAAGTCAGTTTTTCAGTCAAGATGTTGAAGGCGGTTATTTTAATTGGAGGCCCCCAGAAAGGTAAGAGAAAAATAAAAATCCTAACCATCGTGTCGTGTTGTCAGAGTCTGTTATGTGTGGTCAAAGCGAAGCTAAACTGCTAAAGTTAATGCTAAGAGACGCGATGAGCTTTGTTTAAGATCTATCACTGACGTGGCAAAATGAGAGGACACCACACAAACAAGGAAAGCAGCGTTTAAGTCTTGATAGTCTTCTAATATTTATGACCACAACGATTACTGATAATTTGTAGACAGCAGTTTATTTGTTTAGTTCACTTAGCTCGGCTCTGTATAAATAAACGTAATGCTGTATTAAATAAAGTATGTTAAGTTTATTTTTCGGGGCTTTTAAATGTTACTCTCGGATTAATTTAACGAATATGTGTAATCTTGATCCACTTTTTATTTCGACGTGCACATATCCACAGTGCAATCATAAGTAAAATTTAGTAAACACTACGGAAATAATAGTGGTAACTAAAATAGAGACTTGACGTTAATTTTTGATGCACATGAGCCATGACATAAAGTTATCTGTAATATAATATGATTAGCAAGTAAGCACCTACTTGCTGTGCAGGCACAAGGTTCAGACCGCTGTCATTTGAAGTTCCCAAGCCCTTGTTTCCAGTTGCTGGCGTTCCCATGCTGCAGCACCACATTGAAACTTGTGCCAAGGTCAGTATCACTGCAACGGTCTTCAGTCACCTTGTATCAACCTAACTGGGTGTTAAAATAAGAGCGTGTCCTTCCAGTTAGTGTTCGGTGATCATTTCTTTGCTTGTGCCTTCTGATGCAGGGAACAGTCCAGTAATAGTAAGACATTTTATTGTTCCAGGTGCCGAATATGAAAGAGATTTTGCTCATCGGCTTTTATCAGCCAAATGAAGAACTAACCAGGTTCATGTTCAATGCACAGCAGGAGTTCAAGATTTCCATCAGGTAAACAACAGCGCTCAAAAACACATGAACATAAGCACTTTTGGCTCTCTTACTAAGCAAAGTTCAAGCATTCATTCCATTCAAGCATGTACTAGGTATAAGCAAATTGATATTGGATTATGTGTATGTATGTTGTCATATCAACTGTTTTTACATGCTTGAAAGAATAAATCAAATCAAATCAAAGTTGTTAGTTTAATAATCTCTGTTGCACATTGACAGCAATGCCACATGTTTCTTACTTTGTGTTCAGGGGCTGTGGGAGTTTTGAGCATGCACTGCTTAAGTCTGAAGATGTAATGATGGTGGTTGTTTTCTTGCCTTGTTGCACCACTATTTCTGAATGACTGCAGGTATGGTGTTCTTTCTGGCTCTGCACTACAGGTATTTGCAGGAGTATGCTGCCCTGGGCACAGGAGGGGGCATTTATCACTTCAGAGATCAGATTCTTTCCGGCAATCCAGCGGCCTTCTTCATTCTGAATGCTGATGTCTGTTCGGCATTTCCTCTCACAGAGATGCTCAGCTTCCAGAAAGAACACGGAGAACCAAACAGCTTTGTTATCCTTGGGACAACGGTGAGATTTTAATATTGGCAGCTGGTGCTATCTTTGATTGAACTTTGCCTGTAAAATGCAGTAAATGTAAAACTCTAAAAATGATATTTGCTAGGCTGATAGGGATGAAACATTTCTATCACAATTTGACATATCTAACGACCATACTGCCATTCTTCTCTAATCAGGCAAACAGAAAGCAATCCATGAATTATGGCTGTATCGTTGAAAATGAGGAAACAAATGAGGTATAAACCTTTCTTGTCTTCTCCAAATATTCACCCTTTGCTGTTTCATCTTGAGGTCATACTTTACCTGCTCCTCTTTTTCTGCAGGTCTTGCATTATGTGGAAAAGCCAAGCACCTTTGTGAGTGACATCATCAACTGTGGAATATACCTCTTTAACCCAGACATCTTTCAGCACATTGGCAAAGTCTTCCAGAAGAATCAACAGGACATGCTGTTGTGAGTTTTAAGCATGCCTTCTTCAGGGTTCGTGCATGGGAATACCTGTGAATACCATTTACGGCATTTCTCCTCTTCATTTGTCTTTTTTTCCTTTCCATCTCCTTCCTGCCATGATTTCTGTTTCCTCATACACTCATCAGATATCCATATGATGGGTAAGTTGGTACATTTAGGTTGCATGGTATGGTTCTTGAGCACTTATGGTGTGTGGTGTGAGCTGTAGAAAGATAACCCATGGTAAGGCTGAGGTTGTACAGGATGTGTTGTGACCACTGCCTGTACCCTTTTCTTTGCACTTCTGCTAAATTATGCACCATCTATTTTGGAAGCACCTTTAATTTATTTATTTATTTATTTATGGTTGTGTTTCTTGGCAAATATTGACCTTAAAATGGGCACTGCTGGGGAATCTCTATGCCAGTCAGAAACTAAATGTTTGACATATTAGGAAATATACTTATTTGCCCTGTTGCTGAGTGTTAGGTGAGAAGACTAATCTGTAGAAAACCAAAGTGTAAGAACAGATATTTTTTATATAACAGTGG